TACCCTCCCCAGTGTCTATCACCCAGTCACCCCATCCCTCTCACCCCACCCCCCACTCCAACAACACTCAGTTTGTTTCCTGCAATTAAGAATTTGATATGAGGAATTCTTAATCTCAGGAAACAAACTGAGTGTTGCTGGAGTGGAGGGGGATGATGGGAGGGATGGGGTGGCTGGGTGATAGACATTGGGGAGGGTGTGTGCTATTGAGTGCTGTGAATTGTGTAAGACTGTTGAATCACAGACCTGTACCTCTGAAACAAATAATAGATGTTAAAAAAAAATCCTATCTAATGGATGTAAGTGTATGTGATTAGAGAGCTAAATACCCAAATTTGTTTCATATCAAAGCATCAACTTTGACATCATTGCCCTGCTGCTACTTTCCTTATCTGTCTGGCTGATTGAGAGATAATTTCTTTTAATTAGTAAGATCAGAATTAGTGACCACCCACTTTGGTTTTCTTGGGTCAATCCAGCAAATGTAGACTTTTTGATTACTAGATATATTTTGAACACAGAGTTTGATAATTGTCCTGATCTTACTGCTCTGTTTTCATACAGCTTTTCTTTACTGTAACTTAGATTTGTTTGTTTTTGTTTTATTTTTCAATTGAAACTTAATTTGATTTTTCTAATTTTTTTCTCCATTAACTGTTGTCCTGCTCTATTTTTCTGCAGTTGTCTACCCTCACTTTGGACCCAATTCCCATGGTCTTCATTTTCAGACCATTCTTTTTATCTTCTTCTCAGTGGTTATTTTGTTTTATTAATTATTTTTAGGAGATTGTTCTCGCCTTAATTCTCCTCTTTCTGTTCTCTCTCTCTCTCAGATTCATCTTCAGTGGTCACAGTTCCTGCTTCTTTACTTCTATTTCAGAGCATTCTGATATTTTATCCTAAGTAGTCAAGGTTTCAGATTTCATTGAGCAGATACTTCACAATTTCATTAGAGCTTCTCAATGGGGCAGTATTAGGTGGAATTCATAATTCTTGCTACTAAGACATAAGTGTACATTTGAGTACTTTAGGCCTACATGTGTAGTTCTGACCAAAGTAAACGAATCTCTGGGACTTCCTTCTCACTGTCCTTGGATCTTGCCAGTCTTCTACCATCCTGCAGCAACTTTGAATTAACTTTCATTATGGGCTTGATTTCTCTTCATGTGTGATTGATGATAATAAAGTACATTTCAAGTCATATTAAACTTACATAGATTATATGGGGACATTATTCATGTCTGTTGCTTTTAGCTAGTTATACGTTTGTAGCTTTTAGCATGTTATATATTGTATTGCTGGGGGGGGGAAATTATTTTTTGCCTAGTCTTTTTAATCTTTCTGGCATCAATTTCTCTTTTAGGTTAAGAGTAGCAAAACAGCCTCTGTATTCAGACCATGGTGGCTGTGATTGCTAATATAATGAGTTTAGTTTATGGAAACAGTTCCAAAGTAGCATACAAAGCAATCAGCTGGATACATGAGAGCTTCAAAAAATATGACTCCTTTGTCTCCTAGGCTAACCAAAAACAGCTTGTGCAAAAAAGAAAACTCTGCTTAGAAAATCTATGTGGAGCCTGGAATTTCCATAGCAATATGATTTGATAACTTTCTGACACATCATTTATCAAATAATTCTCTATGTTAATTAGTTGACAGTCACAATATCTCTAGTGCACATGTTATGGTCCACAGAGTAATGTCATGGATTTTATTTTTTTCCAACATTTTATTATGAAAAATTCAAACCTACAAAAGAGTTGAAAGAAGAGTATAATGAACTTTCTTTAACCCTATGTCTAGATGCAGTAATGTTGTTATTTTGCTATATTTGCTTATTTATATATGTATACCTATGCATGTGTTTGTGTGTATTTTTGAACTGTTTTATATATTTTAAGTATTATTTTTTAAAGATTTTATTTATTTATTTGACAGGGAGAGACACAGCAAGAGAGAGAACACAAGCAGAGGGAGTGGGAGAGGGAGAAATAGGCTTCCCTCTGAGCAGGGAGCCCGATGTGGGGCTCGATCCCAGAACCCTGAGATCATGACCTGAGCCGAAGGCAGATGCTTAACCAACAGAGCCACCCAGGCTTCCCTATTTTTTTTTTTTAAGATTTATTTATTTAGAGAGAGTGAGCAGGGGTAGGGGCAGAGGAAGAGGGAGAGAGAATCTCAAGCCGACTCCACACCGAACGCAGAGCCCAGTGCGGGGCTTGATCTCATTACTCTGAGATCATGACCTGAGCTGAAATCATGAGTCAAATGCTTAACTGACTGAGCCCCCCAAGTGCCCCTTGAATTATTTTAAAGTGGAAGATATGAAACTTTGTGCTGAAATCTTTCAGAATACATTTCCTACCAATAAGCATATTCTTTGATAACAACATTCTAAAAATTACTTTATGATTCCTTATTCATAAATGTGGTTAAATTATTATCATCACTTTCCTTTCTACTTCTGATATCCACTGTTCTTAAATTATGTCTAATGAAGGGAACCCAGAATTAGCTACCCTATATTTCAAATTAATTTTAGTTCTTATTTACTACACTGTGACTGGACGGAAGATTTTCTTTTTTCCCTTTCAGAAAGAAAAAGTAGCTTCTCTAATCATACAAAATTGTGCTTGCTTTTTATTGTGGGTCAGATTCCAGAATAGATTTTTTAGGTGATTTGTGAGCACTTAGATGAGGAAGAGGTGATCACCAGTAAAACTGGAAACCAGTATTCTTACTTTATTTCCTAGTAGATTACTGTATCGGGGAAATGCAGTAAACACTTGGTCTCCCCTGAAGTAATTGTCATATATAACACTTGTAGTTCGAGTGGAGAGCAATATAACTCAGGGGGGGTTTTCTGATGGCTGAAGATATTTATTATTTGACCTTTTATAGAAAAAATTTGCCCATCCTTTATCTAGAATCTTATTCTGTTAGTTTGTATGTGTGACTATATCTAAATCTATGTGAAAAGGGCAATTAAAAAATTGTTGAATAATTATGAGGCACTTGGATATGTTCAAGAATAACTGTAATGGGGGCTCCTGGCTGGCTCATTTGGTGGAGTGTGTGACTCTGGATCTTGGGCTTTTGGGTTTGAGCCCCACATTGGGTGTAGAGATTATTTAAAAATAAAACCTTAAAAAAAAAAAGAACTAGTGCAATGAATTTCTCTGGGTGAAATAGTATAACTTTTGGATGATTTTAAAACAGATCTTAAAAGATATGCAGTCACAATTGAAATTTTGAAAATAATTTTAAGGTTAGGTTTATGTTGGTTCATTGTCCTCCAGTTCAGATATCAGTGATCTGGGAAACAAACTCTGGACCTTGTATCTGACTTACTGACTCACTGGGTTACAGTTTAATGTTTTTTTTTTTTTTTTAATGGTTAATTAAATACATTTAGAACTCTTTGGAAAGGAAGCATCTGAAAAGTATGAAAGCATTTCCAAATCACGTTTACGTGTATTAGGTACCTATATGTGCAGGTTGTAATGAGGAATGTTACATAGTAAGGATGGAGAATAGCAAAGACATTGTGTTTAGTTTTTCATAAAGGGTTTGAGATGTTTTTCATATATTTTTATATGTATATTTTAACTTTTCTACCTAAGCTTCTTGAGACTATATTTGGACCGTATAACCTAGATATTTCTTACATTTAATGTGAGCAGATACACTTAACACTATGATATTTGCTGAATATTTTAATGGCCATTCTTTATTGGCAGTAATACCTCAAGTAGTTGACCAGAGCCTTTATGTTCATTTAATTCTACTTTGTAATTCTACTTTTCCTGTGATTTTTCTGGACTATCACAGTGTGAGGATCAACTGTGTTTACTGAAATTCGAATTGTGTCATGTGGGGGTTTGTTTCAAGTTTGGAAGTCCCTTAAGAAGTCTGACTCATCTTGCCCTCTTTCCTCAGCTTGCAGCCGTTTGTGATGTATTTGTGGAAAACTATGTCCCTGGCAAACTATCTGCCATGGGCCTGGGGTATGAAGATATAGACAAGATTGCGCCTCACATCGTCTACTGTTCCATCACAGGTATTTTGACCCCACACCCTTGTCAGTGAGTAGATTTTCCAGTTATTGGGTTTCTTTGTCCATGTAAGAAACCTCTTGCTAGTGTTGGTTTTCTTGAAGTGATTCTGCTCTCCCTAGCCCTCACCTTTCAATTAATCGTTAAAGAATATTAACTGAAATGAAGATTTTTCCTATATTTATTGGCTGTTTGTATTTCTTTTTTTTTTTTTTAAAGATTTTATTTATTTATTTATTTGAAAGAGAGAGACACAGTGAGAGAGGGAACACGAGCAGGGGGAGTGCGAGAGGGAGAAGCAGTCCTCCCGCCGAGCAGGGAGCCCGATGTGGGGCTCGATCCTAGGACCCGGGATCATGACCTGAGCCGAAGGCAGATGCTCAACGACTGAGCCACCCAGGCACCCCTTGGCTGTTTGTATTTCTTCTTGAATTGTATGCCTATAGTTTTTTGCCAGTTTTTCTATTGATATTTTACAGACATTTATAAAGTACTGTTATTAATTCATATGTAGAATTGTAGGTGCAATATTAGTTGGCTTTAGGGTAGCACAGGAAATCAACATATCCCTTTAATTTATTCAAAAGTGTTAAGCCCCAGGTGAAGGAAAAGAGTGCTATAAAGTCCTCCAGATTGTTTAGCTGGGGAATGTTGTGGGTGTTTGTGTGTGTGTGTGTGTATGTATGTGTATTTAGGTCCAAGGAAAAAAGGTTATCATATTAGTTAAACATATTTTTAAGCACTTAACTATTAATTAGGGATGCAATATAGAAAAGTGGCTCGAAAATTCTGAGTTTAATTTTAGTTTTTATCTAATTTAATTAGTTTTTAATTAATAGTTTTTATCAGAAAAATTCCTAATATTTGCAGTCTTTATTCATCTACCAAATATTTACAGCAGGCCTATGATTTGCCAGGCAATATTCTAAGGTTCTGGGATGTGGCAGTGAATAGTACATATTTATGCTCTCATGGAGGTTTGCATTATAGGTTAGGGAGATAGTAAATAAATGAACATATTCTTTAGTCTTTTTTGTAATTGAGGCCGGTAGTGATAAGGGCTAAAGAGAAATAAAGTAGGGCAAGAGGGATAGGGTGAGGAGGAGCTATTTTATACTTGGAGATAAGAGAAGGCTCCCTTGGGGGCGCCTGGGGGGCTCAGTTGGTTAAGCGCCTGCCTTTCGCTCAGGTCATGATCTGGGGTCCTGGATTGAGCTCCGTGTTGAGCTCCATGCTCAGCAGGGAGCCTGCCTCTCCCTTTCCTTCTGCCCCTTCCCCCGCATGCTTTTTTCCTCTCTCTCAAATGAATAAATAAAAAAAAAAGAAGACTCCCTTGATAAAGTGACATTTGAGCAGAGACCTGAATGAAGTAAAGGAGTGAATCATGTGGATATCGGCAAAGATGGCTTCAGGAAGGAGAAACAGCAAGTGCAAAGGACGTAAGGCAGGAATGTGCTGGGCATATTTGAGGACCATCAAGGGTGGCTGAAGCAGAGTGAGCCAAGGGGAATGTAACAGGAAGAAAAACAGGGAGATGTTGGTTAGCAAGATCACGAAGAGCTTGTTAGAAACTCTTAAGGAATTTGGCTTTTAACTTTGAATAAGTTTGTAAGGTAATGGAGTGTTTTGAACAGAAGAATGATACGATCTGACATATTTTTAAAAGAATCACTTTAGCTACTGTGTTGAGAATAGACTGTAGAGGACAAGGGTAGAAGTGGAAGAACAATTGTGAAGCTATTGAACTACTCCAGGCTAGAGATGCTGGTGGCTTGAATTAGGGTAGGAGTGGTGGAGGTGGTTGAGGAGTGATAGGATTAAAACTGTTTCTTTATTAGTCATAAAGTAATAATAACCAAAATACTCCTGTTTCTATGCATTCAGGTTACTTGAGATATAATAGTACTTTGACTATGACATATTACTTTAGTATAAATAATGCTTTTCACAGTATAATTATGTAGTGCTTTTTTATATAAATTAAGCTATAACTGCAATGTTTGGTCGGTATTATTTTAGAGAGGATGATGAGCCCAATGATCATTAACTTCTCTACTGAATCAGCATGAGAGACAGGGTCTGTACATGGTAGATGACTCTTTCCTGCTAAATCTGACTCTTTCTTAGATGTACTATTTTATAGATACGTAATCACACTTCAATTTTTATGTCTGTATATCAATATTTATATGTGTCAGAGAGGGAAAGATTTTTCCTTAAAAATCTCACAGTCCAGTGGAAATATGGAGGTCTAAATTACTAGAATAGGTAAAATACTATGTTCAAATTACCTTGTTATCATAAAAATGCTACATAACTAGCAAATGCAAAATCTTCTATGACAGTAAGTATTTATTTCTCATTCCCATGAATTTGCATTGGCTGAGGTTCAGCTGATCTAGACTGGTTAGATTCCAAGTTTCGGGTTGGGGGCCTGGTGTGCTCTACCTGTCTCTTATACTCCTTAGACCTGTGGCTACCAAATGCATGTTTTCTTCATAGTGAAAGGCAAGAGTACAAGAGAATGAGCCTAACCTCACAAGCACGTTTAAAGCATTAGCTCACATCTCATTTGCTTAACATTCCTTTGGTCAAGGCAAGTCACTCAACCAAGCCCAATACCAATGCATGGTGAAATATATTCTACTCTTGTGGCAGCAACTACAGAGTTACATGGCAAGGTGTGGATTTCAAGAGGGGTAAAGATTAGGAATAATAATGTATTTTATCACGTCCTCCAGCCAAACAAAATGCTAATCTACGTGAGGGGCATCTGGGTGGCTCAGTCGGTTAAGCATCTGACTTCAGCTCAGGTCATGATATCAGGGTCTTGGGATGGAACTCCACGTCGGGCTGCCGGCTCCCCACTCGGCGGGGAGTCTGCTTCTCCTCTCCCTCTGCCCCTTCCCCTGCTTCTGCGCTCTGTCTCTCGAGTAAATAAATAAAATCTAAAAAAAACAAAAAAACAAAAAACTACTCCACTTGGGAAGCCTTACAGTTCCCAAAGTTTCACATCTATCACTGACTATAGTTAAAGCCAAAGTTCTGGGTCCTGGCTTGTGGTTAGAGAATCTCTGCGTTTTCTTCCAGTTCTCAGATCCCATATTAACATTTTAGTGTGTCAAAGGGCCTTGAAGATAGATTGTATAATGCAGAAGTTCTCAGCTATGGGGAGAGTGGGGATTTTGATATGCTTTTCAGTGATAGGGATGGGGGGAATAAGGAGGTGATGGGGAGAGGCCTTTGCAGTCTGAACAAGCACCTTCCATAATTCTGTAATCCTCTACATCACCATCTCCTGACAATCATGAGAAAAACATCCATACAGTTCATTCTACTTTATTTCCTGATAAGGAAACAGGTTCAGAATGTCCAAGGGACCTCTGGTCACACAGCTATTTAATGCCACACGGCTTTAAAAATCAGGCGTCTTGACTAAATATTAAGTGCCTCTATGCTTTCCATATTTAGACGTTTATCATTGGTATGTATTATATTGTTATAACTTATATTTTTATGTGATGACATGGACTTTCTGATTACAAGACACTGAACAGCTTGACTTGAGAATAGTATATTCTTGCTCTTCTCTCTCATTTGTTGTTAATCATATTTACTCATCAGGGAGTCTAAATGTCAACAGAATCTTTGGAAGCAGAGGTCATTTATGAGTCATGAATTTGGGTGTATATAAAGTAAGGGCCACCTCTTTTGTAAAAGTTTGATATTCTTGGTAATCAGTGTTTGTTTTTGATATTTTTTAATAAGACTGATTAGATCAGTCTAAAGTTGCACATGTTATGATTGGGATCCTAGACTTTCCTGATGTTTCCCAGTGGCATTAGTGTTCTGTCAGTTCTGTCCAAGCCCAAATAGTCTGTTCTCACTCACATGTTGGCCTTATTGCTGATGAGAGTAATCTTAGAATGGTTGGGAGATTTATTTTAATGCACTCTGACAGTTGTGTGGTTGAGATTGCCTCAGTCTGTGAAATCTGGTCTGCAGGACAAGAATGTTAGACTGATCACAAGGGAGGAAGGACCGGATTCTTTTTGTTAGCAAAGTCCTCTTATCATTTCAGAGTATGAACATTAGGGGGCAGTGTTTAAAAAGCTATAATTCACTAGGAATTACTTTTTGAGAAAACTTGTGTTTCCTCTATACCAGTGGGTAGAGAAAATCTCTGAAAAGGTATATTTATATTTTTAAAGAAGTTTTGTTTTTTAAACTGACCATTCTCTACCTCTCTATACTTTTAGAAGTATAATGATATTCTCCATGGCGCTTTAATTTTAAGTTGTACCTTCTCTCCTTTGTTTCTTCTGAGCATGTTATTAATTATAAAAACTTAGCGGTAAAAATCCTCTCTACCACATTTTAAAATATTTACTTTTTTCTTATTAACTTCATTACTCTTTTTTCCTAGAAGGATAAACATTGCATTATATTATTGATTAGACTAATTTTGTGGAAGGAACATTGTGTATGCCCTTTAATAATTTTTGGGGGGTTGGGAAAGGGCTTTGCAAAGTACCTTTCTGATTTTTGTGAATTCCCCAAAGGCATTTTCTTAATCTCTGTCCTTGTATGGACAGATTACAGGATTCTGCTTGAGGATAGGTCCTCAAGAGGGACCTCAAAACTCATATCAAAGAGAATATTTTAGAGAGTTAGACCCATTCTTTAGTTTTAAATAGAAAAAAAGTCTGAGAGCTCTACTTATGAGCTAAGAATAGCTAAGACAGTTTTAAGGAAGAACCTGGTAGGCACATTTGCCCTGTTAGATATAAAGACTGATACAACCCATAGTAATAAGACGGTGTGGTATTAGTATGAGGATAAAGAAATACATCGATGGAACAGAATAGAGAACTCAAACATGCTGGCATATGTATGGAAACATGTTTTTTAGGGCTTATACTCTAGATCATTAAAGAATAGAATATGCAGTAATTGATGGTAGAACATTGGTTATCCTTATGGGGAAAGATAAAATTCATCTTGA